GCTTTATATATATAAAGTAATAAAAGGATTTTATATAAGTGATTTGCAAAAATTAACTAGTACTTTTTCATACCCCAATCAAATTTTGAATAAGTGAGATGATCCTTTAAATTATTTTTCTGTATTGTTCATATTAGCTAAATTCAAATTGGTAACTCTGGGAGTATCATTTAATGAGGACATTCCATCCTCTAGTTTAAATTTTAGCCTCGGAGGTGGATTCTATGAGCTCAGTTAACACTATTGAGATATCAAGAGGTTTTCTATGACATTTCTAGCTTGATTTGCAGCAATCAATGAGATTTCCTTAGCACTGGTCCCTGCAGCAAAACAGGATAGTGGGAAAGATATCAAATGACAATTGACAACTCCTGCCTGACTGAGCCATATAACACTGTCCTTTAGCCCTACTTCTCATTGAAAGCTCTTGAAGTGTTTTATTCACCTTCATCGATGTTCCCAGTTTCCAAGTACTTGCTGAAGTGGCTATTCTATCATTGCCAGAGCACCAAAGAGGAAATTGAGATGCTCATAGTTTGATTCCACCCACAAAAGTAAATCTTGCCTGGCAGCGGAATGTTAACTAATTCAGTTCACTGCTTCCCTGTAATAGCTGGAATATTAGGATGAAATGCAAAGCAACAGATATTGGGCCCTGACCGGTTTGGCTCAGTGGATAGAGCGTTGGCCTGCAGACTGGAAGGTCCCGGGTTCGATTCCGGTCAAGGGCATGTACCTTGGTTGTGGGCACATCCCCGGTGGGAGGTGTGCAGGAGGCAGCTGATCGATGTTTCTAACTCTCCCTCTCCCTTCCTCTCTGTAAAAAATCAATAAAATATATTTTTTTTAAAAAGACACAGATGTTGGGCCAAGAGGCAGGTCCTTAGTCTCTGTACTCCTAATGCCTGGCCTCATTTCTTTAGTGCCAACTTCTTAGAACCTTGGAATAGATTTGTAGCTTCCTAGGTAGAAAGAAGAACAACCACACTAGGTTTTGTTCACTGTTATGTATGTGTGGGAACACATAGTTGTATTAGGGAAAAGCTCTACCATTGGAGGAGTTCTAAAATTAGATGGTTACATCAGTAAGTTGGTTAGACAAATGCTATAGAATATGGAGAAACAGAAAGATACAAGGAATCTGTAATATGATTTTGTATGCCCAACCACACACACAAATAAAATCCTAATTCTTTATTGCTGTTTTAAAAAGCATTTAAATACATGTGGAAAATATAGTGGAGGAAGAAAACAGTGGGACTCAACAATACCTGGGTATCACATTAAAAGAAAATAAAAGATAAATTAGACTAGGCATGTGTTCATTGAGTGAAATAAGAGTATATCTGAGGTAAGAGTGAACAGGCCAGGAAAAGAGATGGTTTATGTGAAAACAAAGTGATTTTTGTTTCTCAATAGAAAAAAACAACAACTCAGGTTAAAAATAATTTTTCACAATTTGTTTTTTTCTTTTTCTCAGAAAGAAAGATGGTACAGTTATGCTAGCTTTTATTCAATTTGCTTTTAGCCTACTTAGAATTCTGCCAGGTTAATTGGCTTAGTCCAAGCAACGGTAAGTAATGGTTAATGCTAGTGACAAACAGTATGTTTGATTTAGGAGAACAAAACCAAATAGCTAGAGTTCTTTAGATTCACTGACCAGGAAAAAACCCGTCTTGTTTTTTCCATGGGAAAGAAATGATTTGTGTTCCTTTCTACCCAAAGGGAGAGGAAATGCAATTCCTTCAGATTTCCAAGATAATTTCTCCAGAATTTAAATGAAAAACCAATTAAAATGTAAACCAAAAAAGGGCGTTGAAAGAATGTTCTGTTTTGGTGACACCCCAAGATTTTTTAAATGTTGGGTGGGACATTCAGATTCTATACTTTTTAAAAATTTCACCTGTAGAGACCTTTCTTCTTCAGGATTATAGTTAAGAATTTAGAAGTATATGTCTGAGGCATGTTTCAAACTCCTTGAAGTGCAGTGGGCACAAAAGGTAAACTGTTTCCATTCAGAATGACCTTTGTTGACTTGGACAGTGAAATGGGACTGTAAA